GCTGCAGGAGGCTTAGGTTACCCGCCAGCCACACAAGGACCTTGTGTTGTTGTTTTGAAAAAGCATTCGCTGCTTGTAAAACCCACGGGCAGATAATTTTAATGCTCCCCGGTGCTGAGTACAGTACGGCCTCGGAGGAGGGGGTGGCAGGGGTGGGGGTGGGGGTAGGGGCGAGCGTTGCGGAGAGGTGGTGGAGAGGGAAGCGCTGGGCTGCTTTCGAGGGTCTCTTGCCCCGGCGTGGGATCGGTGCCAGGAGGTGGCACTACTTGCTGAACCTTGCTCCGATGGGCTTTTCGGAGCGATCTGAAAGGTGCCAATTCTGTACACAGGACGGGCTGTCCGGGGCCTTGTAAAATCAGGATCGTGTGCATTTTGCGTCTAGTTTATTGCTCCCTCCTTCCTCCCAAATTGGGCTACCAAAGGATACCGTTCAAACCACCTAGTGGTCCATTTGCCCAAATGGCCAAGAACCAGCTTGTGTCCGCGCAGCCCGCTCTCAGGGGCGCGGCTTGTCTCAGCGGACAGCTAGTCAGCAAGCCCTTGCGAACGTGGTTGGGGTTTTTGTTAAAAGAGCGGTGACTCCCCAGTCAATCTGTGCCTCCCTGGATCTGCTCCGGCCTCGCTCAATGACCACCTGTTCGGATGGCAGTCTGTCTTCAGAGCATTTGGGGGTCTTCTTGATAGCGGTGGTGTGGGGAGGGAGGAAACCTGGCCAAGCTGGGCGAGCAGTAATGACTGCCCAGATGCGGGCCTGATCACCCCCAGCCCGCCTATCATTGTGCGATCAGCGTTGCAACCACTTAGGAAAGAAAAGTGTTTGTCCCCGTGTTGGGCTGGCCCTTGCTTTTATGACCAGATGTGCAACCGCAGCAGTTAAAGTGTAGCAGATTAGATCCAGGGCGTGTCATAAATCCTCGACAGCAGGCATTCCCAAAGCTGGGGCAAGGAAGGGATGGGGAGCGAGTGGGGTGGGGGTGGGGGGTGGGGGTGACTTTTATGGATGCAGATGAGGCTGCCTTTTAAATGAAGCTGCTCGGTTTGATATTAGGACTCGCAGCTCTTAAACTCCGAGGTCAGGCGAGCCACGGCATTCCCTGCAATAATTAGGAACAGTCAAGACAGAGATGCAGACCAGAGCACCGGGGCTGAAATCTGGATGTCCGCCCACATGCGCATGGGAAGGAGAGGCCCAGAGACAAATGGCCGAGGGCATGCAAGCGGCTCAAGCCATATGGCTCCCTTTCCTGGTCTCCAGGACAAGAGGAAGCAACGTTTAGGGCAAAGCTAGGGACTCTCAGGAAAAGAGCCACCAGCCAGGGTTCTCTCTGGTGGCCTTAGTTTGTCCGTTTGATCCATGCGACGGGGCATAAATGGGAGGAGTGCACAGGCTTGTGTGTGTCCAACGCCCCAGTCCCCCCCACCGCATGCACACGCACAGAGGCAGACACACGTGTGTTTAGGAAGCACTGTCTTGAGCATGTGGCTGCATTTAGAGGTACCACTTTAGCTGGCCTAGGCATTCTCTGACCGGTTCTTCTTCTAAGAACAGGGCAAGGTGGACCGCCTGGGTGCTAGTTCACCCACGAAGAGGTAGGACTCAAAGGGGCTCAACAATGTGCTGGAGTCACTTGTGGTGCCTGCGGCCGCCCTGGAACCCAGACCCCAGTGATGTAGATTTACACACTGGGCGCCCACACCACCAAGCAGCTGAGCAGCATGCGTGTCCCAGGATGCGTGTTTTCGCTCCGAAGGAAGAGACGTGCACCGTGAGGAAACCCGGAGCCCAAATGAATCAGGAAAGCTTGACTGACATTCTAGTTTGGCATCGGTGTCACTAAACGGTGATACGTCTGGGTTTCAACATCTCCCCAAGGACTCCCCGTTTCTTCTGTGCTCTTGATGGCCCCAGATGTGCAGCTCTGGGTGGCGAGGGTGACGTGTCACAGGAGCAGCAGAAACACCTGGCAGCTTGCAGCATCCCCCCTGGGCACCCCGAAGTCTCTTCTGTTAATCTTTTGAGTGGCAGAGGCTTAAGGATTGCCCTTTTCCAGCCAGCACTCTGGGAAACTGATCGTACCCTTTTGGTTCCTCTTGATCGGCTCACTAATTGAGCTCCCCGGAGGCCTAGACCCCGATCCCTGCTCCCTCTTTGCTTCCGGCCTTCAAATTCCCTGACGTTTGTTTGACTCTGGAAGCCAGCAGCTCTCAAGTATCAGATTGGAGCCTATTATGTAGGAAGCACCTGATTTTTCGGTCTTTCCGCCAGTGTCGGGTTACCCAATAAGCAAGGTAAGCAGGGGCTTACTCGTGCCTACTTAGTAATCTGGAGTGAACAGTTTCACATTTTTTCCCTGCCACATCAAAGATTCTGCTGCGGGGTCTGGCTGGCATCTGCCTCTCTTCCAATCTCTCAGCACCTTCCCCCAGAATCACAGCCTCTTTTCAAATTTACAATCCCTGACAGGGACGGAGTGCCCAGTAATCAAGAGAAGCTCAGCTTTACTTGTGCTGATTTACTAAGCTGTAGAGGAGTGGCCTAGTAGGTATGTGTTGGGCTGCTCACTGTATGGTCAGCAGTTCGAAACCACTAAATGCCCCTCGGGGGGAAGATGAAGCTTTCTACTCCCATAAACAGAGTCTCAGAAACTTACAGGGGCAGCTCTACCCTGTCCTATAGGGTTGCTATGGGTCAGAATCGACTGGATGCCAGTGAGTTTGTTTGGTTTTTTGTTTTTGTTTTGAGTGAACAATGCAGATTAGAAGGTAAGTCCAAGAAAACCCGTGCTTATCTTGCTAACCGGATAGCCCACTCTGGCTCTCAGCTCAGAGTGTTTTTCTGCCTGGGATGCTGGTCAGAGTAAAGAAGGAGGCAGCTACTTTACTCCTGCACAACCTACTGACAGTGTTTTGGGGGAGGATGGGAGGAGGCAGGGCTCTCTCTCTTTCTCTCTCTCAGGCTCAGGAGTGATTGATGGCCAGGCATTGTTTGATCCTTTGTCCTCAGCACCAGAGAACTGGGTGAGGGCAGGGACTGTCCCCATCTCATCAGCCAATGTTTCCCCAATCCTCTGCACAGTGTGGACCTCTGGTGGGAACTTACTCTCATGGTATTTGTGGAATGAGCAAATAGTGGGTTATGGGCTGGGCTGCTAATCACAAAGTCAGCAGTTTGAACCCACCAGCTGCTCCAAAGGAGAAAGATGAGATTTTCTGCTGCTGTAGAGATTTACAGCCTCCCTGTTCAATAATTGCTTTCATGAAGAGATCACTGAAGATATGGGTGTTAGAGCAAATTGTGGTGAAGAAAGCAGATGGTGCCCGGCTATCAAAAGAGAAAAGCTCCTGGAGTCTTACAGGCTTCTATTCAAACCAGCAGCCAGCTAAGTGAGGTGTCAACTAAGTCCACATGGACCAAGCACACCAGTTTGTGTAATCCAAAGATGACAAATAACAAAATCCAAATACGACGGACAGAAAAGTATCATAGGTTAAATTGTGAGTGCCCAAGGCGATAGAGGACAGTGGAAGCCCAAAATTCATCTGCAGAGTACCTACTCAGATTAAGCCTCTGACAGATCCCCTCTGCCCCCAGTCGAGGGACTCAAATAGCCCTACTACCAGACAGAGACAACTGTACCCTTGATTATGGCGGAGGGAACGATGGTATAATATGATACCTGGTCAGCTTGACCCATGCTGGATTTGGTATAGGTTTAAATATTTCTTGGTGATTTGTCATCAGAGGTGATATTTTCATATATATACTGTTTTCATTGCATCTTTGGTATGTTTCCAAGTTTATAAAGCACAGAAGTGGCAGATGTACAGAGATTTAATAGCTTATGAGGGGTGCAGGGGGTAGGCTGAGGAGAATTGGGGAGCAAATAATGAATACAAGAGTGGGGGAGAGGGTGCTCTAGAACAGATTGTGGCAACGTACATACAACTTTTTTGAAATATGACTGAACAATGGAATTGAATAATATGTCAATTATATCTCAATAAAACTATTTAAAAAAAAGACTTCCAGCCTTGGAAACCCAAGGAGACAGTTCTACTCTGTCCAATAGGGTCGCTGAAAGTTGGAATAGATTTGATGGTAATGAGGTTTCTTTTTCTTTTTTTTATGCATGCATAATACCAATTCATTTTCTTCACTTGTTTTTAGCATGGCTGGGGAAAGGAAACCTAAAAACTTTAAACGTTTTAGAATTAGGAAATGTTGGAAGGTCAAGAGGTTAGAGTGGAAAATTTAATTCTTGTCGGTATATTTGCTTGTTCTCTCCTCTTGCTTTGTCAATTCATCCTTCAAAGCCCATCTCCAACATTTT